TTTAGCTTAATTAATTTGCCCTTCACATTGTACTTTTTAAAAAAAATCATCTATGTGCAATCAGTTTCAACAACAGCAATTCCAAAGTCAGACTACAACTTATGTCTTAAGTCTTAAGGTCAATCAGTAATTATTTGCATTGTTTTTAAAATTGCATGGACCCCGCAGGTCCACAAGTTATTCTATAAACGCCATTCGGGCCCTGCTTCCACGGCAATGTATAATTACCAGCAGTAAGCTGGAGGATGAAATTCTGCGGTGAAGGGTCTTTCTTCTTTAGAACATTTTTGACTCTCCAGTAGGAAATGCTGCTCTGATTTGCAAATCATATACTAAATAAAAGTCAATCAATTTCTATTATTAGCTTAATATTCTTTTTAGTTTAACAATAATTATCTGAAGCTTTTTATTCAAATGGCAGTTGTTATAAACCTAAATTCCTTCTGAAGCCTGGGCATTTTTTTACCTAAAAGTTCTTTAATACGAGTGCAGCATAAACAGAAAATTATGTTTAGAAATGACTCTGACAAAGCATTAAGGCTGCACTAGCAGGCAAGTTATGGGAGACTGTTCAAACCTCATAAGGGATGCATGAATACAACCAGCATGGTCATTAACACCAATTGAGATTCAAAGAGAACATGTCACACAGTGCCAGAATTCAAAATGGTTTTGTACTTATGGATATCAGTCATGTAACAATCATTTTTTCAGAGCACAGAGTGGGCTGCTAAAATAGCTCTCAGGAGAGGTCTACTGCTTTCCACTGGTTTGTTCTATTATCAGTACTTTTCACTGAAGAATCAGGCAATTACCAGGAAAAGCAAGAAAATAAGCACTGTGGGCATTTTCTCCCACACAGCTTTCTAAAAAGTCATAGTTAAATGTTTTAAATTTAAGTATATATATTACTACAGGATGTTTTACTTCTCTGTGACAACTTTGTTTCATACTTTTTTTTTTTTTGAGCCATGCTCACTCTCTTAGAATACCTTCTCTTTAAAATCTTGTTCAAAACTGTATTTTTTATTTTAGCATATAACTCAGGAAAAGTCTGAAAGGACGAACACCAAATCCAAAAGCAATTAACTCTGTGAAGAAGTTGATGACCAGGAACTGGAGAAGGGAATTCATCACCATGTACCTAATATTTATATATTTTTAATTGTCTTTCAAAAGTAATTTTTAGATGTACTAGAGACCTAAATTTTTAAAAAAGGAAAACTAACAATATAGCCCCCAATTTTAAATGCTATTAAAACTATTGATTTTGCTCAAAGTCCTAAGAAATAAGCATACATTTTCTTTGAGTGGCAATATTTTCTAATTATAAGAATGAATCTTTTCATAGCTACTTTGGAAAGTAAAACAAATCACTTTGAAATAAACTTGGTGGGTTTACTTTCTTTTCTGAACCACAGATTGACATCATTTACAGCATTGCTGGTATGTACCACAATCAATATGTCACTTTTTGCACATGGGTACATTACCCTTGCTGTTATGTGTTGTTGAATTTGGTGGGTTCACTTCCTTCTCTGAACCACAAATTCACATCATTCATTCATGGCACGGTTACTGGTATGCACCACAATCAAGTACTGTATTGAGCTGTTCAAAGAAGGCTTTTTCAAAGCATGGCAGTCAACTCACTTGCTCCAAGCCAAAAATGGAACAGGAGAAATCCATGTATTTTAGGGCACAGTAAGGGTGTGTGCCTGACAGCACAGTCTATTTTTAGGAGTTATGTTGGGAAACTTCCTTAGTGAATGCATGCAGGAAAAAAACAGTAATAGAAGGGTAAACTCAATTAATTATTTCATTCTCACAATAGCTCTGTTCAACATGAACTAGGTAATTTCTTTTTAAGAGCCGAGAGTTTTAACTCTTAGTATCTCCAAAAGTTTATCTCAATATTCATACAAACAACTAATGGGAAGACTTCATGGCTCATTTTCAATAAATAAATTATAAGTTTGCAAAAGCTCAAATATGTGGCACTGCCAGTTAAAGAAAGAATAAATTTTAAGGAACTGGTATAGATTCCAGAGTATGACCATCTATAACTGGGAATGAGATTACAGCCCTCAGCAGCTTTCAGTATGTGATACCCACAGAGAGGTAACAGACAAGAATTCTGCCACCTATTAAGTAATGACTTGTCTATATTTTCTCTTGGACACAACTTGTGACTTCACACATTTAAAAAATAAACAGTAAATCATGTTGTGGCATTTGTGCCGAGAATAACATATTTCCTGGTCAAATCCTAGATTTTCTCTTGGTACCAAAAAAACAAAAATCAACCCTATGGCTGTTGAATCTGACTCTGACTCATGGCAATCCCATGTGTTACACAGTAAAACTGAGGTCCACAGGGTTTTCTTGGCTGTACTCTCTAAGGAAGCAGATCACAGGGCTTTCTTCCACAGAGCCTCTGGGTGGGTTCAAACCATCATCTTTCGATTGGCAAACCGTTGGCACCATCCAGGGACCATACAAGCATTCTTAATCCTTGATTTAAATTTTTTTTCCTCTTGTTTTAAAGTATGAATGTTCTTCATCTTAGACTTGCTTACTAAAGGAGAACCGAGGGTTCCAAAGTACAATGAGTTTACTACTGTATATCAGGGCTCTTCTCAGCTCTCCCCACTATGAAGAGAAAGCTAGAAACAACTCTTCAACTTCCAAGAACAATCATATGGCAATGAATAATTACTCGTATTTTACTATTACACTTAACCAAACACTATTAAATCATGTTACAGCAAACGCTAATTGTTCCCTGAAAATCTCAATGATATTCAGCCTTCTAAAACCCCATTTTCATGTTTACAGATTCAAATTATATAGGCCACATGCTATTGGCTAGAAAGTACTTTATAGCTCCATATTTACACTGGAAAGTTCAAAGAGTGCCTTGGGGCTACACTAAAATTTAGCTGCTGGTGCTGCTCTGGTAAATTAAATGTAAACATTTACAAGAAATGTAAACACACAGTAAGTTTCTAAAAAGACTGAGTGGCCACATGTAATTTACTGATATTATATTATCCATAGTACTTGTTGTTAGGTGCTGTTGAGTTCAGTTCCAACTCATAGCAACCCTATGTACAACAGAATGGAACACTGCCTGGTCCTGAGCCATCCTTTCGATAGGTGCTATATTTGAGCCCATTGTTGCAGCCACTGTGTCAATCTATCTTTGGGGTCTTCCTCTTTTTCACTGATTTTCTACTTAACCAAACATAATGTCCTTCCCCAGGGACTGGTCCCACCTGACAACATGTCCAATGTCCGTGAGATGAAGTCTCACCATTCTGGCTGTACTCGTTCCAAGATAGTTTTGTTTCTTTTTCCTGCAGTCCATGGTGTTTTCAACACCCTTCACCAATACCAGGAGCTCTGGTACCATAGTGGCTAAGACACTTGCCTGCTAACCAGAAGGCTGGCGGTTCAAACCCACCAGCCACTCCTCGGAAGGAAGGTTGGGCAATCCTACTTCTGTAGTGATACTGCCTCGGAAACCCAAGGAGGGGTCGCTATGAGTCGGGGCCAACTCGACGGCACATAACAACAACAATAACAATGGTCCAGATGTGAAGATTTTTGTTTTCTTATGTTGAGGTGTACTCCATACTGAAAGCTGTAGTCTCTGATCTTCATCAGTAAGTGATTCAGGTCCTGTTCTCTTTCAGCAAGGAAGTTTGTGTCATCTGCATATTACAGTTTATTCAGAGTCTTACTCCACTCCTGATGCTGTGTTCTTCTTCATATAGTCCAGCTTCTTGTATTATTTGCTCAATTGAATGAGTATGGTGAAAGGATATAACCCTGACACATACCTTTTCTGATTTTAAACCATGCAGCATCCCCTTGTTCTGTTCAAATGACTGCCTCTTGGTCTGTGTACAGGTTCCACATGAAGACAAGTAAGCATTCTGGAATTCCCATTCTTTGCAATGTTATTCATAACTTGTTATGATCCACAAAGTCAAATGCCTTTGCATAGTCAATAAAACACAGATAAACACCTTTCTGGTAGTCTTTGCCTTCAGCCAAGATCCAACTGACACAAGCAATGACACTCATCATTCCATGTCTGAATCCGGCTTGAGTTTCTGGCAGCTCCCTGTCAATGAACTGCTATAATTGTTTTTGAGTTATCTTCATGCAGTGTAGTAAATTACCTGGTATGGCTTTTCTAGCCATAAGTCTTTGTAAACCCCATGGTGGAATTTGCTGTGAGCAACTGAGGAGCTGCTGATTGTAAAAGTTATCCACCTGGGGTATTTCTGTTGGGCGTGGCACAAAGCAATGTTCTGGGAGGTTCACTCTCTCTCAGGTGCTTAGAATTCTGATGTTATGATTGGCTAGTTTGGCCACTATGCCGGGCCCAAAAGGAGGCCTCCTAGAGGCAGAAGCCTCTCTGACTACTGGGTGAGAAGGACGTACTGCTGAAAAGAAACGCACTCCTGAGAGATTCACGCTGCTGGGAAAGAGACACAAGAGACACGCATTGCTCAGAGAGACACCAAGGGACACGCACTGCTGGGGGAGAGACTGGGAGAGACTGTTGGATGAAAGACAGCAGGCTGAGAGAGACTGTTTTTCCTTAAGTTGAATTGTAATCTGGTGCTTCCCTAATAAACCCCATGATCTGTGAGTTCTATGTGGCCACTGCAGTGAAGTATCAAACCCAGGAGAGAGGTGGTAGGTGCTTTAGGAGGAATGGTTGGTGAAAGGGCTGGAGGGAGGCAGCATGTCTGGCCTTGCAGGAATAGGCCTTGGGCTACTGACAGTGATTCTGTCTTCTTCTTGTGCGGTTAGAGGAGGTCAGAAGATGTGGCCTCCTTGCCCATTTAGCACTTCAGCAAAATCAAGTTTTTCCATAAATCAGCTAAACTTTAATATATTTAAAATGTGCAATAAGGAATGGATCAAACGTAAAAGTGTATACTCTCAATGTAAGTTTATCCCAAAGTGCAACCATGTCTTACCTTTTCAGGTCAACAGTTGTGACACTAAATACAACTCCTTTGAGCCAAAGAATCATGAAGAGCCTCTGGGAAAAGGGGCAGTTTCCTATGCTCTCACCATCACTGCCAGCCTGAGGAACAGAAGTAAATGTTAAAAAACACAAGGTCAAAGAGATGATACTCAAAACAACAGACCTCTTTCTGAATTTTAATCAGAAGTAGATGATGACAGGAAAAATCGTATTGTGGAGGGAAGAGTGGAAGTCTTTATTATTTTACTTTTTCATTGATGTCAGTCAAATACAATACTGTGAACAGAACTTTCTCCAGTGATGGAAATGTTTTGTTTGCACTGTCCAATAAGGGAGCCACTAGCAACATATCACTACAGAGTACTTAAAATGTAGCTAGTTCAACTGATTTTTTTTTTAAATTCTTAATTAATTTAAATATAAACAGTCACATTTGGCTAATGGCTGCCATATTAGATAGCACAGATCTAAAAAAAAAAAAAAAAAATCCTAAGGAGTACATGTAACTTTGGAGCTCTGGTGGCGTAATGCCTAAGGCATTTGACTACTAACCAGAAGGCTGGAGGTTCAAACTCACCAGCCGCTCCTCGGAAGGAAGGTTGGGCAATCTATTTCTATAGAAATATCGCCTCAGAAACCCAAGGGGGTGTCGCTATTTTGGTTTTTTTTGCTTACATATAACTTTGCCTTAGGACAAAGTCTGTTATGGGTTTTATGAAATGTAAGTCATTTCTTGTTCTATGTAACAGCATTCACTAAACGTCAAGGTCAAAGAGAAACTTATAAACTTCTAAGTACCTATCTCAAAAGATGTTAAGTAAGCACCAACCCTCCCCTTTTAGTAAATATTCATGATAAATATCCCATATCCTGTTTAACACATTTCTTCAGGGAACAAGAAAATAACAAAGAAATCATTATGATAAACTATTTCTAATTCTATTTAATGATGAGCAGTTGGCTCCCCTGATTTCAATCACATTATAGAACAAATGTGTATTAATTTCATGTAGGCCCTAAGTTTAAGAAGGAAGGAGTAGGGGAGGAAATGAAATAGGTAGAGGAGGAGAGTCAGTATCTGGAAAAGACTGCTCCAGGACTTACTAGTAATCAACACAGCCCTCTTTACCATGGTGAGAAAGCCTGAAACAACTCAACATGTCATTCAAAGATGCTAGGAAAGGTACTGTGTATTTTCTTAAAGCATCCCTCAAAAGAGTCAAAAGCACTTGAATAAAATGCTACATCCATAAAAAGTCATTAACTCCTAAACCAAATGGAGGAAGTTGGGGGGGGGGGACAGTTCCCCAATTAAAGATATAAAGCAACCAACAAAAAACATGGGCATAAAAGGAGGATCCCAGAGGCCTACCCTAATTAGACAGCATGGAACGGTCAAACTGAATACGGTTGTTTTAAAAAAAAAAAGAAAAAAGTGGTTATTAGTACTAACAAAATATACACAAAATTATAACAGAGTGGGATGTATTAATTCCTAATATTGCAATTTGTATTAAAATTTACTTTCTAAAGATAGCCTCAAACTGACTAGTTTCCTTCCCCTCCTCCCCAAACTGATTAGTTCTTAAACTTGAGTGGAATTAAGAATAACCCTACAGAGGATGTTTAAAGTGATGATTTCTAGGCTTTAAAACCAGAGATTCCTGGGCCTTAAATCCAGAGGTTCTGCCCAGGAATACTCAATTTTCAATAAGCACCCAAGGAGAGTCCGTCTTAAAGCATCTCTGACCACACTGAGAAACACTGGTAAAAGGATACACCTTCCTCAGGGCACAAGTCATTCTAGTATGTAACCAGTACCCAAAGTTACTTTTTTGAAGATGCTGACCAGTCATTCACAGTATGCAACAAAAATGATTTTACTACAGATAAGAAAAATTTAACACATTACTTATCTAAATAAATAGCTTAATGATGAATATTTTCACACCAAGTTTTGGCTTTTAGAAATCTACATTTTATTATCCTTGTTGTTTTGCTTTCTTTTTCCTCTTCTAAGAAAAAGTATTCCGAATTTGAGACTTATTAGAAAATCAAAGAGTTTGGTAAACAAAGAACTACGCTGACTCAAGATTTTATTCCATTCATTTAACCTAAAAAATTAACTATAATTTCCCAAGCTACCTGGCATAGCAGTGTTAAAAAAATTGAATTGGTAAAGAAGATGTTATAAAGATGTTGCACGTAGGCACTTAGAAAATCACATTAAACCAAAGGCAAGCTGGAAATAAACAGGGACTAGCTATAGATCAAAATCACTACACGGTTATTTTCCACAATTGTCTGCAGAATATATTCTAGACCTGCTCAGTATGCAACTATCCTTTTGCTTTCAGACTGCCCCTTTTGTTTATAATTTTCTAGAAAATTTCCCCAATTTACACTCCTTCAGGCATATTGACATGACACACATCTCTCATCCATCATATAATTATTTTCCTTCATGCACAGGCAACATGCCCACCCTTCGAGATAGATCTGAAAACCTACCTTTTCATTAACCACCCAAAAACTCATGACACCTCAAACAAGAAGTACTGCCATGTACAAGTTTTTCCAAAGTTTTAATAGTGTTAGAAATTTGAAAGCTACTAGTCAAATGAAGTTTTTAGCAAGTATAATGAAATTGTGGACAAATTCTGATTTCTAGAAGTTACAAATCAAACACTACCTCCTTTAATCCAAGTTGTAGTAATAAAATTCCACTACAACAAAGATGTAGGATCAAAAATATTGTTGTTCAGTATGAACTACATTAACTGCGATCCATTGCTATAACTGGCTGAGAAGGGTACTGTGGTATAGTGGAAGCATACTACACTGGGGTCAGGATCATCTTTATTCTAGACCCAGTTACATATTAATAACATAATTATAATGAATACATAAGTATCTAACAGTAGCATCAAAGAATTTTTTTTTTTTTTAAATAAATGCTGACAGTAATATATAGTCACTATTTAAAAAATAAAAACTAAAATGCTACAGTAAGTCAGAGTTCTTCTCCCATAAGGTAACTACCCAATAGTTTGTCACATATTCTTCCAGATTTTTATTTCCTATGTACATATTCCTTTTTTGTTTTAAAAATATGATCATACTAAATATAACTTTTTTAACAATATATATTTTATCCTCAACTTCATGTAACAATCTTAAGCCCTTTTTCTTATAGGTATTCTATAATTTAACAAGGAGCTCTGGTAGCATAGTGTCTAAAGCACTTGACTGCTAACCAGAAGGCTGGCGGTTCAAACCCACCAGCCACTCCTCGGAAGGAAGGTTGGGCAATCCTACTTCCATAGTGATACTGCCTCGGAAACCCAAGGAGGGGTCGCTATGAGTTGGGCCTGACTCAACGGCAAATAACAACAACAACAATAATTTAACAAATCCTTACTGATGGGTGTTGCATGGTCTCCAATGTCCTGCTATTACAAACAAGGCAATATTCCGCCTCCTTCATTTGAATCTTTGGACATCTGTGTAAGTATTTCTACAGAAAAAAATTCTAGATTCTGGGTCAACAAAATACAATGAAGCCTTTGAAAAGGACAGTTAGATGGATGACATCAAACCTGGAAATACAGAAGTATTAAATGTTCAGTCCATTTTCTTTGTTGTTCAGATTTGCTAATTTCTATTCCTCTGTCTTCTAGTTCACTGATTCTTTTTTCTGTCCCCTCCATTCACTATTAAGTCCATCCACTGAGCTCTCTATTCCAGTTATTGCATATCTCAGTTCTAAAATTTCCACTTAGTTCTTCTTTATACCTTCTATTTCTTTGTTAAGGTTTTTGTCATCCCCCCCCCCGTTTGTTTCACACATGTTCATAATTGCTCACTGAAGCACTTTTATCATGGCTACTTTAAAACCTTTATCATATCATTTAAAGATCTCTGTGATGTCAATGTTGGTAACCACTGTTTTTTTTTTTTTTTTCTTCATTCAGTTTGAGATGTTCTTAGTTCTTGGTATAAGTGATTTTTCAACTGAAACCTGTACATTTTCCTACTGTTAGGAGACTCTTTATTGTTTGAAACCTCCATTTTAGCTAGTTTTCTCTAACACATCTCTGGCATGGGAAGGGGGAGCACCGCCTTGTTACTGCCAACTGGTGTTCAAGTTCCCTACTCAACCTTTACTAACATATAAGCGTGTCAACAGTCATTATGCTGCTGGGCAGGAGAGGGATTTCCAGCTCCCCATGTGGTCTCTACTAACACAGCCGTGGGGATGACTCACTGCAGATGAAAGTCCTGACTCTCTACTAGGCCTCCTCTGACTCCACCCATGCAACTTGCATTACCAGACAGCAAAGATGAAAGCCCCAGCTCCCTATCTGGCCTTCTCTGATACCATCCTGAGAGCTCTGATAGCATAGTGCCTAAAGCATTGGATTTCTAACCACCACCAGCCACTCCTAGGAAGGATGATTGGGCAATCTACTTCCCTAGAGATATAAGCCTCAGAAACCCAAGGAGGGGTCCTACGAGTTGAATTGACTCAATGACAGTGTGTTGTTTTGTTTGTTGTTGATACTATCCTGGCAGGGGTGTTACAGTCTCTCAAGGGTGGAAGTCTAGGCTCCCGCTTTGGCCTTTGGATGCATGGGGGTAGGGAGACAGTTTTTTTCTATGGTATTTGGCTGGAGTAAAACAGTTACTGTCTAAAAGTTTTCTGTTTTAGTAGGATGCCCCTCTTTCCCAATTCTTGGACTAGAGAGAGGCTTTTGCTGGGACGTTTTTTGTTTGTACCCACTAGTGTTTCCAGGTTGTCAGCTTCTTCTGCTTCGAGTTTGGGATCTATGAGGCCAAACAGAAAAGGAAGCCCAGGGAACTCATCACTGTATCATTCCTTGCTTCCCAAGGTCCCTCCTCTCCACTTGTCAGATTCTTATGTTTTGTATATAACGTTCAGGGATTTTAGCTGTACTTAGTGGGAGGACAAGCAAAAAGTACATCTATGCCATCTTCCCAGATGTAGAAGTCTCTCAGAAGTATTAAATTGAAAGAGCAAAATAAAAAGTGTATAAAATGTTGTATGAAAATAGTGGAATTTATTCAGCAATAAAGAG